GTTTGTGACTCTGTTAATCGACGTGAACCTACTGGTAGGCCACCAAATTCTTGCTCGCATGAAGAAAAATGTAGACCCACTTGCTAGAGAGAGAAATAGGGTACGTAAACGGTGTCGGCGACACTTTTGCTGGCCGAAGCAATTGGTTCTTGGCATTGTAGTTCAGGAGGTTGTCTTCGAGAGACGAATTAATAAATGGACGAAGGTCGTGATTGAACAGCCGTTTAGTATGGAATGGTTTCCGAGTAGTGTGAAGGTTTACGCGTGGACACGCCGAGTAAATTCTGCAAGTTACGCAGCCACGACTGGGTTGTAGAGATATCGAGTTGTGTTGTACCGATGGGCAGCTTGGGTGAGTTGTGCTGATGCCGAGAAAGGTGGAACAGATGCCGAGTAGCCTTATATGAGATATGGCACCGCTGAGTAGCTTTGTAGCTTTGCCGAGTAATCTTCTATGAGTTGGGGTACTGCCGAGTAATGTTGCAAAATGATGAATTAATCATGGTGCTAAAAATGGTGCCAAATAATGTTGCCGAATAAAGTTTGGTGCACTGCCGAATAATGTTGATGAATTGATGATGGCCCAAATGGTGCAAAGTCAAATAGGTCATGAACATGAAGATTTTGTATATTGAAACTCCTGACTTCGAGCCCTTGTATTTCCCTCGTTTGAAGTCCGATTGGCCTTATTTTTACGGCGTTGGATTCATCACTCGACCTAGTGTGCATTCCAATATTCAGATACGTCGTTCTGCCCTGGGTTGGATGCCGTTGGACCTCCGAAAATTGACCAAAAATAAGATTAATCGACCCATTTTGTGTTCGTTTATGTTCGGATTGGCAATGTTGCGGAGTAATTAGTAGTATGGTTGCGCAATGGTTGGAAGGCAAATCTTGGCACTTTGATTTGCCGAATCACTTGGTCGGTGAAAACTCCACCCGACTCGCTAGAAATTAAATATTACTGATAACAGTGTATTGATATAAAGTATTGACCCAGTATGTAATTCATGCTGTCTTGTGAATGAAGTAACCCATGATGCATTGAAATAACAAGCGGGTGACTTGGACGCCGATTTCAAATGCGAATAACTTGTGCACGATATTTGGCTCGTAGTGGCGCCATTCTTCTTATCTTTGTGTTCATAAATCACGTTAGTTGGGGAGTTGGTAGATACTCGGCAAAGTTTTGAGCTTGATTGTTGCTTAGTCGGCTATGCAACTTGGTGAAATACCTGGCGAAGTCGATTCGGTGTTAGCCGATGCATTTCTAGAATGGATGTAATGAAGTTTCATTCTTGAGTCGTTGTTTCCAGAGGAAGAAATGCCCGCTAACATATGCTTGATAAAAAGAGAACCAGAAGAGATTTGGTTCTCGACATTGCGGCTGTAGCCGACATGATTGAAGATATATGCACTACATGATTATCATTGCCAATGAGCTTGATGATGGAATTAGTGTGAATTGGGCAAGTTGATAACTATCTGGCATTGCCGAGTGAACTATGGTGCCGAGTAGGCATAGTTGTAATAGCCGGATCTTGAGTTTGTAAGCTTATGATCACTACATAAAGATTTTGTGGATGACTCAGCAAGCTTGTTATGGGTGCCAATCAATTTCTTCCCGGAATGTAGGGGCTTTTCGCTATACCGAAACTCTTGGTTGGCAACTTCTCTTAGCTTCACGATGTGCCGAATCACTTGGTCGGCATCTCTTTGTATTTGGTTTTGCTAAGAATGTGGTCGGCAAGACTTCTTTATGCATGCAACACTTTTGATCTTCGATTTTGTCGAGATTTTGGTTGGCATCAACGTAAGCCATTAGAGAAAAAGTGAACCCAACTTGTTTAGCATAGGTATACGTGCATATATATGAAGAATCAACTTCAAGATATGTTTTGTGAAACAAAGATTAAATAAATAAATAGATAGACGCATGTATTAATGTAGCCGAGCAACTGTATTGACTTGCCGAAAAGAAGTTCGTACCAATAAAAGTGTGAAACCCATTTTTACAGAGAGAAAAAGAAGACATAAAAGTAGACCCATAAATTCTATTTTGTTTTAAAACTTTTCAATCAATATTTCAAATGAACAAAAGTTTCCACAAAGTTTGTATGTAGACATATACGTATATACAATTTAAGAACCCATTTCATTAGAGAGAAAATAGATCACCATCACATTGTTGTTGAATTTTTACTTACAGAACCATGTTTGCTATTTCCTTCCTTGGCCTCTTGCAGACGTTTCCCACAGACGGCGCCAATTGTGAGACCATGAAATATCCTCTCACATGGATGTTGTAGAGATCCAACGAAGAGATACGCCGCCACGATTGGGTTGCAGAGATGTCGAGTTGTGTTGTACCAATAAGGTGACTTGTGCTGATGCCGAGAAAGGTGGAACAGATGCCGAGTAGCCTTATATGAGATATGGCACCGCTGAGTAGCTTTGTAGCTTTGCCGAGTAATCTTCTATGAGTTGGGGTACTGCCGAGTAATGTTGCAAAATGATGAATTAATCATGGTGCTAAAAATGGTGCCAAATAATGTTGCCGAATACAGTTTGGTGCACTGCCGAATAATGTTGATGAATTGATGATGGCCCAAATGGTGCAAAGTCAAATAGGTCATGAACATGAAGATTTTGTATATTCAAACTCCTGACTTTGAGCCCTTGTATCTCCCTCGTTTGAAGTCCGATTGGCCTTATTTTTACGGCGTTGGATTCATCACTCGGCCTAGTGTGCATTCCAATATTCAGATACGTCATTCTGCCCTGGGTTGGATGCCGTTGGACTTCCGAAAGTTGACCAAAAATAAGATTAATCGACCCATTTTGTGTTCGTTTATGTTCGGATTGGCAATGTTGCGGAGTAATTAGTGGTATGGTTGCGTAATGGTTGGAAGGCAAATCTTGGCACTTTGATTTGCCGAATCACTTGGTCGGTGAAAACTCCACCCGACTCGCTAGAAATTAAATATTACCGATAACAGTGTATTGATATAAAGTATTGACCCAGTATGTAATTCATGCTGTCTTGTGAATGAAGTAACCCATGATGCATTGAAATAACAAGCGGGTGACTTGGACGCCGATTTCAAATGCGAATAACTTGTGCACGATATTTGGCTCGTAGTGGCGCCATTCTTCTTATCTTTGTGTTCATAAATCACGTTAGTTGGGGAGTTGGTAGATACTCGGCAAAGTTTTGAGCTTGATTGTTGCTTAGTCGGCTATGCAACTTGGTGAAATACCTGGCGAAGTCGATTCGGTGTTAGCCGATGTATTTCTAGAATGGATGTAATGAAGTTTCATTCTTGAGTCGTTGTTTCCAGAGGAAGAAATGCCCGCTAGCATATGCTTGATAAAAAGAGAACCAGAAGAGATTTGGTTCTCGACATCGCGGCTGTAGCCGACATGATTGAAGATATATGCACTACATGATTATCATTGCCAATGAGCTTGATGATGGAATTAGTGTGAATTGGGCAAGTTGATAACTATTTGGCATTGCCGAGTGAACTATGGTGAAGTTGCCAAGAGGTGATGTGGTGTCATCGTTGGGATTTATCAACGTCATTCGGCGCTGCGTGTTGCCGAGTAGGCATAGTTGTAATAGCCGGATCTTGAGTTTGTAAGCTTATGATCACTACATAAAGATTTTGTGGATGACTTAGCAAGCTTGTTATGGGTGCCAATCAATTTCTTCCCGGAATGTAGGGGCTTTTCGCTATACCGAAACTCTTGGTTGGCAACTTCTCTTAGCGTCACGATGTGCCGAATCACTTGGTCGATCTTTGTACTTGGTTTTGCTAAGAATGTGGTCGGCAAGACTTCTTTATGCATGCAATACCTTTGATCTTCGGTTTTGTCGAGATTTTAGTTGGCATCAACGTAAGCTATTAGAGAAAAAGTGAACCCAACTTGTTTAGCATAGGTATACGTGCATATATATGAAGAATCAACTTCAAGATATGTTTTGTGAAACAAAGATTAAATAAATAAATAGATAGACGCATGTATTAATGTAGCCGAGCAACTGTATTGACTTGCCGAAAAGAAGTTCGTACCAATAAAAGTGTGAAACCCATTTTTACAGAGAGAAAAAGAAGACATAAAAGTAGACCCATAAACTCTGTTTTGTTTTAAAACTTTTCAATCAATATTTCAAATGAACAAAAGTTTTCACAAAGTTTGTATGCAGACATATACGTATATACAATTTAAGAACCCATTTCATTAGAGAGAAAATAGATCACCATCACATTGTTGTTGAATTTTTACTTACAGAACCATGCTTGCTATTTCCTTCGTTGGCCTCTTGCAGACGTTTCCCACAGACGGCGCCAATTGTGTCTGCAAAGATGAGCATGATCGGCGCCACCCAACCGGGGTTACCGGCCGGAGACACTCCGATGCTAAAGTCAGTCATTTTATTGGAAGAATGAATGTATAGAAATCAAGAGTGTTTGTGTGCTGTGTGGGGGAGAGAGATTTACCTGCCTCCTCCTCTGGGGTGCCTTCCTCTTTTATATAGATAGGGGGGGTCTGATATTTGTTTGGGTTAGACCCCTTGTAGGCCTTGTTTTGTTTAGTCCCAATAAGCTAATATATTATTTTCTGGCTCCCACATTATGTATGAATATTAATTTTTTTCTAAAATCATTAAACTAGATTTAAGTGGACCCACTGGAAAGGAAATTATTAAATATTTCTAAAGTACTATGTAACATTTTTGACAAATAAACAATCGCAACACACATAATACCAATCATCATATCACATTCATATCTATATAATAAAATAGAACGGATTTTGAAAATATGTAAAATTTATCAGAGATACAATTTGAATCAACGACCTATATCAATCCTAAGTATATATCAATGGTTGAAATACATTCACTTCCTGCCCAAGCAGTAAGCTACCCACATACCCACGTCTCCCATCCATTCTATCTTTATCTCTCTCCCCTCCATTCTATCTTTATTCTTTCCCTCTCTATTCTCACCCATGTCTCCTCCTCATTCCCTCTTTATCTCTCTCGGTCTTTCTCTCCCTTCCTATTCTTCTTCCCTACCCTCTCTCTTCGCTTGCTCCCGAAACTGCTCTCTAATCTTAGCTCGCAAGGTAAGATGCTCGCTCCCCTTCTCTTTATGTTCCCTTTCTCTCTCTGTATTTCTGCTTCCCCCTATGTTCCCCTCCTCTCGCTACTCAATCTTTTTGAGCTTTCCAGAATTCTCTCTAACGGGTTGTGAACAGGTTATTTTAGGGTTGTTTGCCTATGCCATTTTTTTTCATTTTTTTAAAAAAAAATTGTATTTAAAGCTTGATTTTCTATCGGGCTGTATTGATTTTTTGTTGGTTTCAAATTCTAAGAATTTTCTGTCAAGTTGTATTCTAAATTTTTTTTCAAAGTTTAATTTTGGTTCATTATGGTGATTTGCTTAGGAAAAGAAATTGATATGCAATTCGTTTTTTCATCACCACGGTCCAATCCTTGAGGCCAGAAAACTTGTGTCTATATAATCGTTCAACACCAAACCTGTGGCAATTGAATTTGGGGTTTTATTGCCTCTTTGTACCAGATTTTTTAGATTTCTCTTTCTCTCCCTTTCTCCCTTCGAGTAATTGAGTAATTCAAGTTCACTGATTTTCTTAGTTGAATGTTTCTATAAATTTCAATGCTCTATTTCTATAAATTTTTTGAATTTACTATAAATTGCTGTATTCACTTCCTACTCTTTGAAAAGAAAAAAAAAATATTCTTCGACCATAATGCATGTTAGTGCAAGGATTGTTCTGTATGAATTGCAGAAGATAAGAAGCTGAAAACTCTTGCAAAGGGGAATCTGTGGTGCCAGTGTGTGAATTACATTACAGCCATATGGTTGAACTTAGAGTAGGTTGCAACCACATTTATTGTAGGTACTGTATTACTTCATTTTGGGATACAATTGAAGTGTTTTGCATATTATTTGTGTCTATACATATGTGTGTGAATTCATCTGGGTTTGATGTTAATTGATAAAAAATGTGGTGCTTCTGCTTTAGTTTGCATTACTTGCTTTAGTTTGTCCTTAAATTCTTCAGTTGCAGTTTCTTTATTTATCTGAAATTGCTCGCTCCTCTTTCTTCAGTTTGTGTGGGTAATCTCATCTGGTTTGATGTGTTGGAACTTTTGAGTTTCTTTTTTTTTTTTTGTGTGGCTGTGTCTGTTGCTGTCCAATAGGAAGTCCCAAGACTGAAGTAGGTGTAGGAAGTTCAAATTTAAACTTGGCTATATTATGACTGATCTGGGTTTTCTTCACAAGCTTGAATTCCTTGAAGTTCTTAGGATTTAAGCACCCTATTAAGCAAATTCCATATATTATTAAACAAATACACAAATTGGTAAAAACTGCACAAGATTGATTAGCCAAAATTTTTGAAAACCCATTAAAAATCAAGACACAAATAAACTAAAAAACATATTACACCTTTGGGTTTTTTGGAGGAAAAGAAGAAAGCAGCAGTAACAACAATGGCGAAAAGGGCATCAGCAACACTGACGATCTGGATATCAAATGTTTGTAAGAAATCCATTGGTATTGAGTAAGGTAAAACCCCTATCGATCTCCTCTTCCTCTTCCTCTAAATGTGGATTTTGTGTGAGGTTTCAGAGGTTTTTTTACCAATAAATGGATGATATTTAACATTCCAAGATAAGAAACTGGTTCCTTGAATTTTGAATTCCTAAAATAAGTAGTAATTTGTTTTCTTTTTTAAAAGGGCATATATGGGAAGAAGGAAGGGAATTCAATAACATAGTTTATAAGTAAAACCATGTTGTTTAATATTTCATTATCTTTATTTACCATATGTTATTTAATTTTTTTTAATCTCCATTTCTTATTATTTTGAAATGGTAGGATGATTTTATTATAGTGATATGTATGATAATAGTGTTGATAATAGATTTGTAACAGTACTGAAATATTGATAATTGATTTTTTTTTTTTTTTTTTTTTTTTTTTTTTTTTTTTTTGTTCTTTATCAAATCAAACCAAACTACACTGTGTTTCAAATCCGTCCAACTCAATAATTTGAGTGAGTGTATACAAGCAATTACCTATTTGAAGCATATATAAAAATGGACAAAAATTAAATCAAAGCACTAGTAACAATTATATATAGAGTTCTAATCATCAAATCATTAAAAGCTAACAAACCCACTATTCAGTGGCATGTTATTAAATCAAAGAACCATATGTTATTTAATATTTTGTTTGTTTGTTTTTCTTTTTCTTTTTGCATTGTGTAATGAGTACATCTAACCATAAAAGGGTGGAGGAATTCTGTTTCTCCCCAGTTTATGCTTCCATTCACCTAGCTATGTAGGGTTATTTTGGTTACTATTTCATTTTTTTTTCCTCAAGATTGTTGTTACTTGAGGTCTACAATACTTCAAGTTTTTTTCTATAGCTATTGTGTCCATTAATGGCATTGATTGCTTTTTAGGTATTATAAGTGCTCTGAGTTTTAATTATATATCAATTTCTATAGCTATCTCTACATCTGTGTAAACATTTTTCAATAATTATTTCTAAATTCTAATTTTTATTCTTGTGCTTATCTGAGATTCTACTACTCTCTCTCTTACCCAATTCAAAAACAACACAGAATGATTATGTAGTTTCCTCAGTTTGGTATATTTCTATTTGGTATTTTTCCACCTTTTTTTTTTTTCTCCTATTCAATTTTTTTTTTTTTTTGCTTGGCCCAGGTGTGGAGTTAATAATAATGTGTTGTGATCTGAGAGGATATGTTAATTAGGTATTGTTTGAGTAGTAAAAATTGTGATTGTTAATTCACAGATTGTGGGTAGGGTTAGCAACCATAATTGTGATTTTTTTTTTGGGTAGTACTATTAATTTTTTTGCAGGTTGCTTTATGATTTTGTGTAATAAGCATTCTATTTCACATTTAATTCACTAGAGGAGCTAAGTTTTCTTTTATTTTTCTTCATATTTTTTCTTTTTATTTTCGACAAAAGTGCTTCCCAATACTTTGGTTATTCTATGTTGTGTACTTTAGGATGATTCATGTAACATTTTTCATTTCAAATAGCTTTGGGGAGTTGGTCTAACCAATTTGTTATGTTTACACTTGAAATTGGAATTACTCTTTTGTTGTTCTTATTGCAATAATGCTTTACAATTTTTTCTGCATTTCAGGAACAACAAAGGACTTCAAAGAAGCATTAAGAACCTGTTTTTGAGATTTGAGATCCTTGGGTTTTATTACTTTGGTTCTTCTATGTTGTGTGCTTTTGGATGATTCATGTAACATTTTTGTAATCAAGTTAAGGTTCAATTTTACCATCAATTGTTCAACCGACTTGACAAGATCGGATGAAAAAAAACTCACCCGCTTCTAATCGGATTATGATTTGAAACCTGTTTGGGAATTATGGTTTCAATGAGAGTGAAAAAAATTGAGTCGACTCGACCCTTTAGCTCTTTGTGGTCGGTGTGTGAATGAACTCTTTGGGGTGGGTATGCAAAAAATAAAATTTTAAAGTCTGTTTCAGAATTATAATTTTTAATTAAAAATTTAAAAATCACTATAAAATATTGTATCATTTTTTTGTAGATTTTTTTTGGTTAAAAATTAGAAAATTAACTAAGTTAGCAATTTTCAAATAGAGCCTAAATACAGTTGAGAAAAGTTTTATTGGGAAAATGCTTACAACTTGAAATGCGTACCTGTTCATTTTATTAATTATTGTTTAGGCTGAGCATATTTTTTTATTATTGTTTTACAAACGTCATAATTTTAGGGGGAATGCAGAAATCCGGATTAGTTGAAGAATTGACCCGGCTAGCAGAATACGATGGGGGCAGTTTTGACCACTCGGTTGTGGTTGAGATTGATGAATTTAATTCTTATTTCGGACAGATATTGAATTTAATATATAAAAATCCATATGATCAACCCAATCAACTTATTCATATGCGTACAACTTGAAACATGTGTGTCTATTTTCTTAATTAATAACTTGAATTTATATTTAAAAATTGTCACTAAAGGACTCCAAAGAAGCAATTAGAACCTGTTTTTAAGGTTTGAGATCTTTGAGTTTCATTACTTTGGGTTCAAGATCTGAAGGAATTTAATTGGGTGCATGAATATTATATAGATATGGTTTGCGTGAACTCCTCATTATGGTCTTGCTTTGTAAGTTATTCATGTATAGGTATTGTTTGGCTTATGACTGTTCATTATATATGTAGGTATGGTTTGTTTATGATATTTTTTCGCTTCTTTTCTTTTTTTTAATTACCAAGTGTCTCATTTGTCTATAAGATATATCAAGTTTTTTTGTATCATGATATAGTGACTTATTAATGCTTAATGATTAATTATTGAAGTGATTATCAGTTTCAATTGTGTTTTTAATTGAATTATAAGATAGGCGATAAATTTATTTTATTCCCTTCCTCCAATTCAAAACAGTAGGTATGGTTTAACCAATGTGTTTTTTTTAGTTTTTTTCCCAGTACGTATAGTTTGTTCCATTGTTTGTTTGTTTCATTTTTTATTATGAACTTGGGGTTGTTTGTTCCATTTTTGTTGAAAATGTTCCATTGTATTTTCAATATGTTGGGTTAGTTTTACTTGATAGTTAGTATGAATTGCTGATTCAAAACATTTTTTTTTCTTTTGTTTTTTTTGGTCATAAATTTATGTTTGGACTTTCTAAATGATAATCATAAATTTAATTTGAAGACTATAAAATTGAAGTCAGTTGGGGAAGAGAAGAGTTCAAATTTGGACAATTGTTGTGCTCCCATTTTAATACCCTTTATGTTGCTAGGGCTGATTTTAATTTTATCATTTTAATGTGATTGTTAAAATACATCATTCAACAGTCATAATTATATAACCAAATATTTTCAGGTTGAAGTACAACAATTATGGACAATATCACTATTTTCGGTCAAGTAAGTTCTTTTTTCTTTCCCTCCATATAAATTTAAGTATCTCTCTTATAATGTAAAGCCTATTTATTTATTTATTTTAAACTTATCATATTAAATTTTCTTCTAGTAAATGCTTTAAACAACTCATACTTTATAGGTAAATGAAGACTTACACCGAACAACAATATTAAGAAAGAAATGATTTTTTTTCTTATTTATCTGTACAAATTTTATTTATCACTCTAAAGTTTTTGTATATATAAATTCAATTTCTTCAACAAAGAAATTTTAATGTTGTTGTTCGCGATGAGCGTGGCCTTAATACTATTCGCATTCATGAGGTAAGCCTAAAAGTAACTAATATTTGAATGCATTTTCTTATCATTTTGTAAATTATTTATAAATAGATTCTACTTATTTTTTTTATAAGTAAAGGCAAAGGAAAAACACAAAGCAATATCAAAGGAGACAGAAAAGGCTATCCCTTCTGGCAAAGGAAACGAACATGCAAATCCCGTGGTATGGTTTCTTAACATTTTTAAAAAGTTTATTTTCCAAATATTTATTAAATTTTTGTTTTTATATAGATTTTGTTTAAGAATTGCATAGTGTCAAATACTCTTTTTATGTACATTTTTATGAGTTATGGTTTTTTAAATATTTATTCAATTGTTTTGACTGATTGTGAAATATTTTTCTAAACCATGTTAAAATAAGCATTTATACATGTTAACGCATTTGTCTGAATATTAATTTGAAATAGATTTTTAAAATTAATTAAATGAAGTTTTTAATTATATAAAATAGATTTTAAAAATTTTTATTTTACTTATAAGTTCTTAAGGAAAGCAGAAAAAGACAACAATCAATTTGCAGGTTGCAGTTTGTAGTTTGCAGCTTTGTGTGTGTAATGTGCTTTCAAATTATTTTTTTCCCTTCCTTTTTAAATTTCATCAATACACGCATTGGTTTTTATGTGACTAACAACTCAACCGAGCGAAGAAGAAAAGTTAGTTAAACTTTTGAGAACAAATACATGATAAAAGGAAAGCAAGAGAGGGGATAATCTTCACATTTTATGCACCTAATTATATAATATTCTCATTTTAAGCGCACAATGATAATGTGGTATCAAAAGCTGCATTGGCTCAACGTGCACGGCGAGAATGTGAAAAAAATCAAAACCCATGTTCTGCATACCAATTAGGACAACGCCTGCGACGAGAACGAGAGAGATCAAAGAAATGTATTAACCCAAGACAACCTTCTTTAACACCCAATTGGTAAACAGCTCTGTTAAATTCTTGAAATATATACTCTACTATTACCACTTTATTATACAGATTTTAATTTGTTCACAATCCATTTTTGTAGGCCTACTCCTACAACCCTATCTAGAAATGTTGGTGTGGTCATTCGTGATGAGCATGATCTTAATGTTATTCGTGTTTGTGGAAGTATAAAATCAAGTCAAACATTGTACGTATTTTATTTATATAAGTTTTTTTTAATAAATTTTTTTGAATGTTTTATTTATATTTGTTAGGCAAAAGAAAAAGAAAAGGTCAACCCAATGTCTAAGGAAAAAGAAAAAGTGGCTCATTCTGACAAGAGAATGACAAATGCATGTCAAGTAGTATATAATCCTTTTAAAAAATATGAAGCAAAACTATGTGAATTTGTTGCTTTATGTTGTTTTTGTAGAATGATTGTAATGTATTCTCCTATGACTTGTTATTATTTATGTGTTTTCCAAATTTATTTATTTTTATTTTGCATGGATACATGTACATTTATAACGTACCATATGAAGCGAATAGGAAAAAAAAAATGAAGGAATAAAGACAAACTATCTAATGAAAGGATAAACTAAATAAGATAGATTTTTATTGCTTCTTTATTTTTTTAATAAAAAACAAAATGCATGAAGAAAGAAATAAATATAGATAACACTATTAAAGATATAAAACAAATAAAATATAAAACAAAATTAAGAGAAACGAAAAAAACAAGAAGATATTTCATTTTAAGCACAAAGTATTCACATATTTTGCACCAATGACAAAATATTTTCATTTTAGGTACAAAATGATAATGTAATATCAAAAGCTACATTGGCCCAACGTGCACAGCGAGAGCGTGAAAAAAATGAAAAGTCACACTTTGAATTTCAATGCTTGCAATGAGAACAAGAGGAATCAGAAGAATGTATTCAACCAATACAACCTTCTTTAACACCAATATGTCGCAATCGTGCTTGCCTGGAATGGGAAACAATAATTGAAGATTCTTATTCGACACAAAAACGAACAATGGCTGCCCATCATTCTACATGTTCGTTTTCTATGCCAAGCATATCTTTAGCTCCACAAAGGAATCGGTAAACTACTATGTCTAATCTTGAAATACATACTCTTATTCATACCATTTTGTTTTATAGAATTTTATTTATACACAAATATTTGTAGGTTTACTCCTATAAATCAATTTATTCAAGAAGATCTATGCACTGATGATGAATTAGAAGATATGCCTATGAGTACATCAATTGATACCCGAGCACACAAAGATTCTTGCCGCCATTATCTTGGCAAGATGGATGTATTATGTCCTTATTGTTCAGCTTTACATTGGATGGATGAAAAATTGACCAAATCATCTATAAAGCGTCCCTTATTCAAAACTTGCTATTTAGAAGGAAAGATTAGGCTATCTTTACTTATTACACCCCCTCCATCACTTCAGGTGTTGTATGATGGGAATAATAATCAATCAAAATCCTTTCGAAGTTGTACTCGATTGTGCAATGTAGCCAATGGTTTTACCAGTCTTGGTGCTACATTGGATTTTAGAGTACTCAGTGGAAGGGGCCCTATATCATTCACAATTCATGGGGAATTATGACATCGAACAGGATCACTACAACCACAAGCAGGGCAGGATGTGAGTTATGCTCAATTGTATATCTATGATCTTGATTCAGCGTTATAAATTCGTAATTGTAGAAATCCTAACTTGAGAAGGGATGTTCTTAAAACTATTCAGGATAGTTTGTTGCAAGTGAATGTATTTGTAGCTACATTTCGCTAAGCTCATGCCATTTTACATCAATTAGACTGGGCAGGACACAATCTACCTGCTCATCTTCATTACAATTCAACAACTGAGCGATGTCAATATAACCTACCAACTGCAGATGAGATTGCAATTGTAATACCAGGTGATGGAACAGAGGTAAGTGGAATGAGAGATATTATCTTACATTTCCAAGGAAATAATGAGTTGATGCAAATTAATGAATGTCAACTAGCATACTTGCCATTACATTATGTTCTATTATTTTCATATGGTGAGCTTGGATAGGAACCTAGGGCTATTCAAAAATCCGTTCAAACCGGTAATCCGGACCGAACCAGACCGAATCTTGCGATTTGGTTCCGTTCTATTAAGAATTGGTTCGGTTTTGGATTAAGAAATATGAGAACCGTAAAAAC